GTCGGGGTGGTGAGGGTGACATTGGGGGTTGTAAGCCAGGGCGTAGCGTCGGTAGGCCCGCGCGATCGCGTCGTCCTCCGCCAGCCGGCTAAGCCCAAGCACGGTGTAGTAATCTGTCATTCCAGGGGACCCTGGCTGGAACGAGGCCATACCAATCTAGCTAAAAAAAATAAGGAAGTGTGAAGATATAAGGTTGGCTCGTTCGCTGCTGTTGTTGTTACGTCACTCTGTGCTGACCCTGTTGTGACACAAGGACGTATAAAATAAAGTTGTTACATTTCAAAGAGAAAAAGAAGGGGGAAGGTAAGGAGAAACAGGTCCAAACATGTATAAACCCACACAATAAAATCCGTTTAATCAAATTGTGACATTTACCCCGAGCTGTGTTTTAGTTTAGCTAAAGTCGGTGTGACAGAAGGAAATAGAAAACCTCCCTAGAAGAGACCCATGACCCTGTCCTTTTGGGATCTGACGTTAATTATAAGAAACACGCGATTTTGTTAAAGTGCGGTAAACAGTTGATCGCAAATTGTGAATTAATTTAAAATAATTTTTAGAAAAAATATATGAATATATAAGTAAAAGCTGTTTTTGATCTAAAGGTTAAATCAAGGATTTCACAAAAAAAATCACAAGTGTTCGACTAAAGTCTTAGAGGTAATATTGAATAGAAGCATCTCGATTGAATTAAAACAAATCATCCCTTTTGAGAAAATTGAATACCTAGTCGAATGCAAATTGTAAGGTATATGCCTATGTGTGCGCTGCATATGCTTTTTCCGTTGATAACTTTCTCAGTCGCTTAATCTTCTCCCTTTAGAATGATTAAATCTGTCAAGATAACGACTATGAAAGCCAGTACACACGGAAACTCGTGAAACTTAATGAAAAAGAGTAGGAAAGCAGAACTAAAAATATCGGTTTAAGTGTTCGTGTTCGAGACTAGCGTGGATTGGAGAGTACATTCGATCATCGTTTTCGTGTTTACGTGTTTGAATCTACAAAAACCTCTTGAGCTTTGAGATTTTAAAGTTGAGAAAGGTCCGATAAAGTGGCAGAGATATTACCTTGACGATGAAAGCTCTACAGGTCTATTTAATATAATAAATTTCCTGAGGCCCAAGATAAACAATAAGGCAAGGATTTCAACAAGATCCCACAGCGTTCACGCACTCAGACAAAATACTAGTGTCAAACTATTTGGATGATACGGTATAAAAAAAAGGTGTAAATCTTGAAATGGTCGGTGGTGCTCCGGGGTTTAGGGAAATACCTTCTCAAGAATTCCTTAGTGAAAGGTGATAAATTCAATAATAATATTCAATCCTGTAGAATAAATTAAGTAAACTGAAATCAGACGCAAATAATTTTGAAACAAATTTTTTGAAAATGGAAGAAAGGAATTAATTCTTATAATTTGTATTCCATGAATTTCCAAGATAACAAATGTATGAAATATTGAATAATACCTTATAAAGAAATAGTTTAATTCCATTCTATCCCATCCCTCTCCTCGCTGATCCACCCCTCCTCTCCCTGCCTCGATATATGAACGGTAAAGCTAGTGGTTAAGACGTGAAAATTTCTATCAAGAATATCCTTTATGGTGGGGTTGCAATTAAAATTATAAAACAGATGTACTGCTTAATTATAGGGTTCTAACGTACATGTTAGTAAATTAAAAAAATCATGTAGTTAAATAAAGAATCACTAAATATTTACGGCATGCACATCATCTTACAAGTAGAAAAGAACGAAAAAGCTACCTTTATAGGTTCTAAGTTATTGAAGATAAGCCCAACATCCACCACATTCACATCTTATGCTTCTTCGGAACCTTACTCAGCCTTCCGCCGAATAGCAATCTGATCCGGATGGCTCTCGCGCAGGTCGTTCATAACCTTCCAGACGTGATCCGCCAAGCTATCAGCGTTTTCGAATTCTTTAGCTTCTATGGGATCGCCAAAGGAAAGGTACGCATCGGCGCTGTTAATTAAAATAGAGCCAACAGGCCACATCCTGTCCGTTCCGCTAACCGCCAGCGGCACGATAATCGCGCTCTCCTGAATTGCCAACGCAAAAAAGCCCTTGCGGAATGGCAAAATAGACCCTTCCGGGTGCACATTCCGCGTTCCCTCTGGAAAAACGCAAAGCATGCGACCCCGACGAAGCTTCTGTGCGGCTTCCATCATCATGACCCCGACAGTGCCCTTTATCGTTTCAAATCCTGCGCGTTTATTCTTAAACTTCACGGAAAGATCCCCCGCGTTGGCCATGCACCAACCGCCAAAAGGCAACTTAAAGAGCCCAGACTTCGCGATCCACGACCCATCCCGAGGAAGCATCGATCGAATCATCAAGAAGGGATCTGATCCGCTCAGATGATTCATCATCAACAACACCCGATCGTGTTTGGTTGGCGGGAACTTGTTCAGTATATGGATACGCCAGAAAGGGTTTAGGAAATCCGCTCCGACAAAAGAAACAAAGCGGAAGATGTGGCCACAGCCATCCTGGCGTTTATTCTTCGAAATGAAAGGAAACGTGATGATGATGAAAATGACCTGCAGGAACCACGCTAATATCCACTGTATGATCAAAGTGCTGACCAAAAAGATCGTGCCAAACAAACGGACTATCAAAAAGGTATCTAGTATTGCCATTAGAATTCGTAGCCTTCACCTTAACACATAAATAAAAATTAAGTAAAATGACCTGGAATGTTGTGTCCTTCCGTTGGAAAAGAATTGTGAAAAAAAGCAAGAAATAGGGTGAATTTCGAAAATAGAATATCCATTCTATAGAGGCACAAAAGCGAATGCAATATGTTGTGAATATGTTTTTCCATAGATCCCTGTGATTTATTTTTAGATTGTATATTTAAACGACATAAAAGTACCTGTAATTATGGAACTCCAAGTTAAAAAAACTGAAAATACAATTTTGGTGATATTCGCTCCCTATACGGTCAAAAGAGCGAAAGGATAAGAAAAGCCGCAAGAAGTACAATTTATGAATATAGATATATGGTTTGGGCCTAAAGATGAATGCAGAATTAGACCTATTAATAAACAGAAATAAAACATGGAGGGACGCATCAATATAATGTCTATTCTATAGCATAGAATCAAAAGATCGCCAAGCAAATAATATTAATAGAAAAAGTGCAGACTGCAATACGAAAATATTGAAAAGGTGCACCAAACTCTTCACAGGTCCGGTTTTGTCATCTTATACAATATTTTCATAGCGTCTAAATTATAAGGCTTCACCTGGGCCCTTTCCTTCAATTATCTCTTTTTGATATTGTTTGTCCTCCCTGAAACTCAATCAGATCTACTTGCTCCATTAGTATACATCTTTAGACAGTTTAACACCAAATACTGTGCTTTATCTACCTTCTTTCTCGGATATAAAGGACCCATTCGATTGCATTTGCATCCTTCCTTCCTCCCTCTGGTCATCCTCATGAGTTGACCCTTCTTCTTGTGCATCCACCTCATCCTCAGTAGATTCCTCGTCCACGCGCTTCAGGTTCCAGGCATGCTTCGATTTTGTGCGACCTTTGCGCTCGTTCAAGGGGTGAGCCTCTAGCAAGTCCATCTCATCTAGATCCACTGCTCGGCGTCGTGCACCGTCCCGCGCCTCGGCTTCGATATATTCCAACTGAAAGGTGTGCATCTCCTCCTCAGTGGTGCATGCTCGATAGCCCGCAAGCAGTTCCTCGTTGAGATTAAAAAAACTCTCCCCCCAGTTAAAGTACGCGAGCACGTTTCGTGCGTCGTCCTCAAGGCCCACAATCGCCAAGGCCGCCGCGAGCGCCTCTGCACAGTTGAGCTTTGACGGCCTGCCGTAGTTCACCGGGTTTGCAGAAATGAGCAGCGGCAGCAGTCGCGGCGCCCCCATGCGCATCTTCGTCCAGGGAACCGCATCCAGCTCCTTCCAGGAACAGTCCACCACCGCTGCGCCGAACTCCAGAACAATCGCGCGGTCCGACGGGGTCACCAGCCTCGTCGCGCTCGGCGTGAGGACCACCCCGTTAAAGCGATCGCCAATCCCGAGCAGGCGGAGCGCGCGGGAGCGGTGGAGCTTTCTCCCAGAGCAGGCGTTGGGGTCGCACTGCGCAAAGTCCCACATGGCGAGGGGCACACTGCAAGGGTGTGCCGGGAGGAGGTGGTCGCCTGCCTGCGGCCTCCCCCCTCCCCGGCCCCCGCGCCGTCCCCCTCCTCTCCCGCCACCCTTGGCGCCCATACTCTAGAAAAGGCAGTCCGCGTCCTTTGGGTTACAAAAGGAAAATAAGGCTAGTCCCAGACAGCCATGGAGATAAGTCCGATATGTTACAAACACACCCATACAAAAGAGAGGAGAAAAGAACAGGGAGATTGGCGTTGGACAAGACACACACGGAGAGAAAGAAAAGATATACGCCTGGGACTGTGTTTCATGGGGCAGCCCCTACGCTGATACAAAACAAAAGGAGTAAGCGTTACTTCTAAAAGTATCCATAATCGCAATCGTAGGAGAACACCTTTTTATTTTTTTATTTTTTTAATAATCAAAATTGAAGAGTTATATGGATTACTTAAAGCGTTTCCGTTACCCTTTTCATAATACCGTCAGGGGGATTACTGGATCAATACCTTCGGGCTACCTTTTTGGATTTGGTAGCTGTTTTACTTCCAGGCGCGATGGCTTCGCTAGAGGCCTCCGCTTTTGAGGCTGTCGAGCGCATTGCGGCACCCTTCTCGACATGCGCTATGTCATTCTTCTGATGGGTGAGCTCACCGGCCTCGGCACGGTGCTTTTTGTGCTGAATTTGAGATGCTTGCGGATCACTGCTCCTAGTGCAAATGCCCATCGGAGCTTTCTCCGCCTCCTCATTCGCTTCGTCCCGGAGACGCTTAGGGCGCGTTCGCTTGGCTAAATAGGCGTCCCGCTCCTTCTCCAGACGAATAAGGTGCTGAACACGCTTCGCCCGATTTACACGGTGTTTTTTGGCCATATGATTTGTCTCTATCGGTCTTTTGTGATGACGCTTCTCTGTGTGCTGAAATTTTTAAAAAATCTAAAAAATTGGTGCCTGGGATGTAGCGTTGGCGTCTTCCGCTAAGTGCTGTTAGGCAACGCTACTTTTTTCCCTTTCGTAAAACTAATGGCGTATTAGATTTAAAAAAAGGAGAGAATTTCGATTAACTTTGACAGAAGACAATAAAATGTATTATACTTTGTAGACAACATATTCCTTCACGCATAATTCATAGTAAAGGATAAACTCCTTAAAGTTAAATAGCTTGTCGTGTTGTTTGTAATTTTACTGAAGCCTAAAAAGGAAGATATTATCCCTCACATATAGCAAAAAAAAAAGATTTTATATAAAAAAGTAAGATGGCTATCATACATGAGGTGAAAACAATTCAATGAAGCACATGCCCAAGCAGACGATAGCACCCTTCATTGCCACTGAAAAGGAAAGTCGTTGCGTGCATTATTAAATACGCCACCTTCTACTGTTTTCACCAACTTCATAATTCATATTCATTTTCGACATCGCTAAACAGGCTACATCTAGAAATCTAAAATTCACAATATTGAATAAAAACGTGTGCGTGTTAAATTAAATGAGAAAGAATACGACTTGGAGGAGGGAAGTGGGGTACCTAAAGATGTTGATGGATTTATGTTCAGCTCTTTTCTAGCGCTCACACACACACACGGACTCTTTGTACGGGGAGAAGAGCGGCTGTCAACGGAAGAACTTCTGAATGCTCTCCTCGAGCTCATCCTTACGGATGGACGCCCGTTTTGCCGTGCGGGTCTTACCGTCCCGTGGGAGGTGCGAACGCGGCAGGACCGGCTTCCCGATCCGCCGCATCACCGGCGCGTTGGAACGCTCGAGGGCCTGTCGAACGCGCTCCTCCTGAGCGCGTTCCTGCTCCGCAATAAGCTGGAGCCGGGTAAGAAGCCGCCGCTCCTTATCCCCGGCCTTCAAAACGGCTTGAATGAGGCCCTCCTCGATGCCGTTCGTGGGGTCCATCACGTAGCGGTTGTACTCCTCCAGTTTGTTCTCGATGATGGTGAGCATCTCAACCGGGCCCATATTCGCCACCGGCTGCGTCGTCTCGGGCTGCGCGGCGTCGTCCACGTTGGAAAGCAGCGAGTCGCGCCCGCGGCGGGGCGGCGGCGTTGTGGTTGAAGCGAGGT